CATAGAAGACTTAAATAATTGTACTCCATCTGAATTCCACTGGAGGGTAATGTCATTATCTCCAATGATATTTTTACTTCTTAAATTACGGTAAATGTTTCCATTAATGATATCACTTTCCATTTCTTTAGTTTTTCGGAATTGTGCAAAATCTTCAGTCTTTACTAATTCTATTAATTGTTCTCTGAGTGGAATATGCATAAAATAATTATTTCTTTTATCGAGATATTTTTCTTTGTAAATTGTTGTACAAACTTCACATTTCATTCTATTATCGGTACGTAAATTCAATATCATATAACATTCCGGACAATAATAATATTTACGCGCTTTATTTTTTGGTAATCACTTTAATAATAAATATTTGGAGCCATGATGTGTACGAGGAAGATGACAATCAATTACTTGAATAAGAGATTCCAACGTAGCATCGGTCAGTTGATGACGAAGAGCCAAACTTACAAGCAACATTTTGCTTTCTTCTTTTAAAAGATTGCATCCTTTGTACAGTATTTGGCGAAACTATAACATGAAAAAATTTTATATTACTTATTACTACTATAAAAATACCAACATTAATCTTAAAGAACGCTATTTTTTCTTTGAAATAAATTATACATATATATAATTTATTTCAAAGAAATAAGTTTTTAGATTTCTTCCCATGATCCAATGTTTGATCACGATAAAACTTCAAATATTTTAATTTTGGGGTGAGATGTTCGGAAATTTTTTAACAGCATTGTATAAAACACAACTATACATTGCATAATTAAGACTTCATTTGTGCACAAATATCAGCAAATTCTTAGTAACTATGTCCAATAGAAAATTATTCAAAACGATATTCACTAATCACATAGAAAATGATAAATCTAATGGTAAATCTAATGGTAAATAGTTTTCTGTATAGTTATAATGAATTATTTTTAATAGTTTTTCATCGAACTAGTTATATACTAGCGATATTTTGTAAGGTGAGAGATACATGTATATTACCTGCTCGATGTGTGGATCTTGATTATGATCATTGGCATTATCAATAACATTATTGTCATTAGCAGTTGGAATTCCTTCATATTTGTCCATGTCAGAGACCAAATCAATTTTATATTCTGATAAGTTATCTGAACATGATGAACTATCATCTTCTGTATAACTTAAGCATGATAAAATGTCATCTACTTCTCTCATCTACTGTTCTCTATTTTTTTTTTCGAGAAAATGCTGTTGATGCTGGTATTTCGGGGTTATGTTCCTCGTATATGTATTGTTTATACGGTCCTCTTTTATTAACACTCATTGTTAATTAGCGCGTTTTCTGTGATTATGTCATAATTTGCAATTTATATTCAGATGGAACGATATACTCTCGTTCACGTGCATGTGCTCCACATATCTGTTGCGGAGCGTGCATTGCGTCATACCGTAATACCGTACTGCGCGGAACAGCTGTAGCCGGGAAACAATTCCCCAGCATTTCCGATCCAGAAATGGTGAGAATCGCGGTCTGGGGCAGCCGGCAGCCGGCAGGGCTGCGTTCGAAAACATCATCCGAGTGTACTCAGGTATCATTTTATTCTTGTTTAACATTCGGTGAACAACAAGGATAAAATGATACCCGGGGGCATTCGGGTGATGTTTCTGAACGCAGCCCATTGTGTGTGACTGTGTGGCAGTGCATTCGCCATTGTTTATATTGTCTGTCGAATGTTTATTAAGACGTTTATATTGTCTGTTATATCTTTTATTTTATTAAACAAGATACTTTCATCGTAAAAAAAAGAAAGATAGCGAGTGCGTATTAGTAGAATTTATTAACGAGGATTATAAAGTCGCAGTAGGCTACTGATCGTGGCTTCAAAATCATTACGAAATAAAGAAACACTACAAAAAGTTATCGATGCAAAAGAAGAAATTGCAATTAATTGGCCCGTAAATTGTGAAATTGCTCCAGCATTAAAGATGCAAAGAAAAGTACGAAATTGCTCATGGAAATCCCACGTTGTACATATTTTGTCGTTTGGAGGTAAGTATTTTTATACTAAAATTAATAATATAACCTTATAACTTGCATGTCTTCTATAGAAATATTTTTATTTGTACTCTATATACACATCTTTGTTGGAAAAAAAAAATTATTCAATAAAATGGAAAATTGAAAAGTCGCTGAAAATTTCTTTGAAAAATGTATATTGCAATATTGAAATCGTTTTCAGAGAATTCTTATAGAAATATCTCAAATATGTTTATAATTCCTTCATAAAATCCTTGAAATTGCTTAAAAATTTATGAATATATTGCGGACAGGTGTCGCAAACTGTTCTATTGATGAGCCATTGATCGCGATATATGAATGGAATGTGTGACGTCATTTGAAGACACGTGTCGAACAGTTTAATTGAGCCTTTCGCGAGAGTAAGTAATGCGTTATCGTGAAATATGTACAGCGCGAATGAAGTGAAATGTGTAAAGCGACAGTGTGAATAATTTTCCGCGAGTGCAGTGTAAATTAAGTATTAACAATGTGGAGTGCAGTGATAAGTGAATGACCGTGAAATCTCGCCGTGAAAGTGACAAGAAGAGCGAGAGAACAGAACGAAAAATGATAACACGGTTCGCGGATCGAACTTAAGTGCGAGTGAATGTGATTCAGCGCGGCGCAATTCTCGGGAATTCGCCGCGTGCGAATTACAATGCAATGAAATATGATAAAGTGCGGGCTCACGAAGTGTGATGAAGATGGTTCGGTGTCGGCTCCTGGCAGACAGACGATCTTCGCGAGTGGCCGGGTCAGTTCCGACGACGCCGTGCGGATGGTGACCACGCGGGTGATTCCGTCGTCTCCGGGATGCAGTGCCGTGATGCGGGCAAGTGGCCATTTGGTCGGGGGTGTGATGTCGGACCGGAGCAGGCACAAGTCGCCGACGCTGGGGCCGGCCTCATTCTTAAGCCTCTTTGGTCGGGCTGCTAGGGCGGTGAGGTATTTGCGCGTCCACCGTTCCCAGAAATGGTCGCGCATCTTTTGGAGGAGCTGCCATCGAGACAGCGCGGTGTCCTTTTCTGCGGTGAGTGACGGCTCTGGAACGGCTAGGAGGGGGGCTCCTATTAAAAAGTGCCCTGGTGTGAGTGCCGTCAAGTCATCGGGGTCATCCATCAGCGGCTGTAGTGGGCGCGAATTTAGGCACGCCTCCACCTGAGTGAGAAGGGTCGCCATCTCTTCGTAGGTGAGGGTGGCTTCACCGATGACTCTTCGGAGGTGGTGCTTTGTTGATTTGACGGCTGCCTCCCAAAGTCCGCCGAAGTGTAGTGCTGCGGGAGGGTTGAACTTCCATCTCACGCCGTCGGAGGCTGTCGCGTGCGCTACGCGCATGGTCCGGATGAGGATCGGGCCGGCGTAGTCGACCCCGGTGCGCAGAAACAGGCGTGCAGGAGCCACTCGCTCCCGAGGAAGACTGCCCATGAGTGGCTGTGGTGTGACGGCTCTCCATCGTGCAGGCAACGCAGCGGTGGATTGCTTGTTTGACGACGGCTCGTCCTCGTGGGATCCAGAATCGTTGACGAAGCAAACCGAGAGTGAGCTGCACTCCCCCATGCAGAGTTTGCCGTTGACAGGACTCCACCATCAGACGGGTTAATTTGGATCCCGGCTGCATGATGATGGGATGCCGCTCGTCGTAGGACAGGATGGCGTGTTTGAGACGTCCTCCGACTCGCATCACGCCGCTGTCTTCGAGGAACAGACTTAGTCGTGTGAGCGGGCTTCGCGGTGGCAAGGCACGTCCCTTGCTCAGTGCTGTGAGTTCGCTGTGAAAGTGCAGTGTCTGCGTGGTGCGAATCCATCGAAGGAGTGCGTCCTCGATCTCGTGGGGCTCGAGTGAGAGTACGGTGTGAATGGTATCGCGTGTCCTCTGGATGCCTGGTCTCCGCCATCGAAGGCACCAAGCTGTCACCCTGAGGAGCCTGTGCAGCGATGAGAAGCGAAGGAGGAATCCAGGTTCGGAGACGTTTTTGATGGTGGCCGTGAGGTGACGGCCTTTTGCTCCGGCAAGTCTGCGTCTGACAGGGCGTCGTCGTTGCTAGGCCTCCTTGCCTCGTCCTCTGGGAGCCAGGATGGTCCGGTCCACCATAAAGGATGATCGACCAGATCGCTGGGCAGGACTCCTCGGGAAGCGCAGTCAGCTGGATTGTCTTTGCCCGGCACATGTCGCCATCGCGCTTCGGGTAGTCGCTCCTGGATTAGCGACAGTCTGTTGGCCACGTAGATCTTCCAGCGGGAAGCGTGGCCGTGGATCCAGTGTAGCGTGACCTTGGAGTCTGACCAGAGGAAGACTGGAGCTGAGGACAAACTCAACAAAGTGCGCGTGTGAACGACGAGGTTTACTAGAAGGGCAGCCGCGCACAGCTCGAGCAGCGGTAAAGACACGGATTTCAGGGGGGCGACCTTGCCCTTTGCGTTCAGCAAGTGAAGTGTGGTGTCCTTTTCAGTGGAGGAGCGGAGGTACACTGCGGCGGCGCATCCTCGCTCTGATGCGTCGGCGAACCCATGGAGTTCGACACGTGAATGAGGATTGTCGCTGCCGAGCCAGCGAGATATCCTGATCTCATTGAGGCGTGGAAGTTGCGACAGCAGGGTCTTCCAGGCTAGTGCGTCCGCCGGTGGAAGGGAGTATCCCAGTCGAGTTTCCGGAGCCAGGCGGACTGGATCAGGATCTTGGCTCGCATTGTAACCGGAGTGAGCCAGCCAAGAGGATCGAACATTCGAGCGGTCTCGGACAGGACGCGTCTTTTTGTGAGTTCGTCGAGGTGCCGTGCCTGTTCCGTGAAGGTGAAGTGGTCGCTGGCCGGGTGCCAGTGAAGATCCAGTGTCGTGTGGCTTTCATGTGACCACGAGTGAGGTGAGTGGGTGAGCCGGTGCTCGCGTGGAATTCCGTCCAGGATGCTGAGGTCGCCCATTTCCAAAACGGAAACCCGCCCGCCATGCAGAGGCTGCGGAGCTCTCATTGGGCTGATGTGGCCTCCGAGAGGGTGCTTGCGCCGGTCACGAGGTCATCCACGTAAGTATCGCGGCGCAGCGCGACAGCTCCTCGCGGAAAACGTTCACCCTCATCGTCGGCGAGCTGATGTAAGGTCCGTATGGCGAGGAAGGGCGCGCACGCCAAGCCATACGTGACCGTTCGTAGGCGGTATTCGCGGATGCCGTCGGTGGCACGATGCCGCCAAAGTATTCGCTGATGATCGCGGTCGTCCGAATGGATGAGGATTTGGCGGTACATCTTCTCGATGTCTGTCACAAAGACGTAGCGGTGCCAGCGCCAACGAAGGAGCACGTCGGTGAGAGCTGGCAGGAGGTTGGCGCCGGTCAGCAGACTGGCGTTGAGTGAGGTATCCAAGGTCGTGAGCTGTGAGCCGTTGAACACGACCCTGAGCTTCGTGGTGGTGCTTGTTTCTCGCAATACTTCGTGATGCGATAAGTAGCACTTAGCGGTGTCCACTCGTTCCGTTGAGGTATCTATAACTTCCATGTGTTGCAGGTCGTCGTACTCTCTCATGAAGCTGCGGTAGAGGCTGCCGAATCGAGCGTCCTTGCAGCAGCGGCGCTCCATGGCATGGAGCAAGCGCTCGGCCGGCTTGCGGGTTTCCGAGAGAGAGAGTGGAGCGCCGGAGAAGGGAAGCCTCACGATGTAGCGTCCTGCGTCGGTGTGTGCGTGCTCGCGGACGAAGATGTCCTCGCATCTTCTGTCCCCACGGTAATGTATCTGTGGTTTCGGGTACGATATACCGCTTATCGTCGTACGGACTCATAGCAATTTTCGTCTCGCGGACGGTATACACTTTGTGCAGTTTAGATCGTATACACGACTGCTGGCGCGATCTCTTCGTTCAAACACCGCGTGTAATCTTCGAAGGTTATCGTTCTCGCGACTACGTTGCTCTTGACGCCTTTAACTTCCTCCGTGTCTTTCTTTCTGTCCACTCGTAACGCGTACATTTTTGCCCTGAGCCCGACGAATTCTGTCATTATCGCACCGTTATTTTCGTCCTTCATTAGACCCGGCACTTTTTTATTTACAAGCGGTATATCGTTCACCCCGCATCGTGAGAGGCAAGGGGACTCACGCTAATCAAGCACCCCAATGAGACCATAACCCTTCTACAGGCCATTGTTCCTTGATAACGCTAAGAATAGGAAAAAATGCGTACACTCCTTTGAACCATAGGAATATGTTTTTAAGAACAAAAGTAGGGATTTCTATTAAAAAAATCAACTTGGCCTCCAAATGACCTTGATATTTGTCCGAAGGTCAAGGTAAGGTCACCTTTAGATAGTCTTATACAAGATCTACAACTTTTGTTTAAAATATTTTTCAATATTTCTTATAACTTTCGAGTCATTTGCGTGGAAAGATTAAAATCGGTTATAATGAGTTGGTGCGTAATGACAACTTTGACCCCTTATATCTCAGCGATAAAAAATAGGCTCAATTTAAAATTTTCAGAGGAGTAATGTCTCATGATAAACTATCATTTAACATCAAATTTAAGTCCAAATTCGAGGGTGAAAAAACAGGCGATTTTTGCGGTCACTCCTTGCTCTTCTTCTTCCATCTTGGCCAGAACGCATTCTAGATCGGCGTACACGATGAATGGAAGCCGCTCTTTCCTGTTGTAATTGTTGAACTCGAGCCACTTATCCTTGTCACTCGGCAACCGGATAGCGCAGTCGTTCATCTCCCGCAGTCGACCGTATGCGCCTGGAACTTGTCATCCGAACCAAAATAATGCAGGCATCTGTAAAAGAAAAATTTTTAAATTGAAATTAGAACAATTTTTATATAAATTATTTAATATAATTATTTTATATTAATATATACATACCGATCGCAGATATATCTTTGATCGTTGTGTTTGCTCAGTTGCGAGCTCACGAGCCGGGATAAATTTTTTATCCACGCGAAATGTCCGACGCTGTTGCCGTCTTCCATGTATAGCAGATTCACATGCTTATCTCGCTTCTGCTCCCAAAGACGTATCGGGATGATACTGTTCTTGTCTTCGATGCCGTACACGTTGATCGAGATATTGTTCGCGAGTTTAAATTTTTTAATTTGATTTAAAGTCACTGGAAACTCAATGTCCCGGAGATTCAGCACTGTCGCGTAATGCGGGTATGATGATTCCCGTTCCGCGTTTCTTTCGGCGGGATACAGAGCGGCGACCACTGTCCACGCGAAACACGCGTTGTCTTTAGACTGTACGTTAATTACCGCTCTTTTTATCATAATCTCCCGCGACAATTTAATGTGACATCCCGCGCGCATTGGATTATATTTATTTACATTAACAGTCAAATTCTGTATTTGCGATAATGCCCAGCCACTATCGCGTTCCTGAAATTCTTCCAGAGACGCTAAAGTGGGCTCGATAACGCGGCGCTCGAACCACTCGCGTAAATCCGATGTGCGAAAGAGTTCACAGTTTCTCGTATTTATACTTTTATTCGCGCGCTTATCATCCGACACAAATTCACCGTTGAATATAGTATTTACTTTTACACTGTTGTGTCTTTTTATAACGTCTTGCACTTGCTCGAGCACCATGTCTTCGGCATCCTCGAGAAATTGACGAGGTTCGATATAGTTTGCGTTAATCACGGCACCGGTCAGAATACGGCTGTCGAACGCGGCATCGATCTCTCGCCAAACGAGTCTTTCAGCCTTATTGTCACCGCTGTAATCACCACCACTGGGAATAAACCGTCTCTGCAATCGAGTCTTCGCACTTTCTAGTCGCGCGATTTTAGCTACCAGAGATTGTCTATTTCCGATCGAGAGCCACGGACGCTTGACACGACTGCGTTCTTCGAGTTTTTTGATCAATTCCTCGCAACGCTGCAGCCACGCGAAATATTCGCCCAAGGTGGCAATTTGGCGACTAATATCCCTCCATCAGATCGCGTCTGCTCGATGTTTTCCATTTTTCTGTCTTTTTCACACTCACACTTTTAAAACACTACGTCACAGTTTTCTACGGATAACTTTTGCACACGATAAACAATACCGTTCTCTATCTTGAACGTGAAATCCCGCAAAAATCTTTCTAATGGGACACCGCTATACTTTTTAACAGCCAACGCTTCGATGGGCGTTCGAATCACGTTCTATGATTTGATGCGCCTTAATCTTTCTTATATATGAAGGAGAACACAAAGCAGCCGAACATCGGCGCTGATATACGAGCGGCGGAAGCAGGGATGCAAAGCAGCCGAATGGCGCTGATACGTTACAATTCTTCCGAGAAAAATCGTGAAAGATGATTCTGGGAAGCGTCATTTGTTTATATTGTTACGACCCCGTGTTCCTTCCCTGTGAATAATTGGTCACCCGTGACGTTCGGCGGAGGATCGTCTTCTATCACGTTGTTAAGAAGAATATTGACAAGACAAAAAAAGACGAGGAGTCGACTCCCAGCTATCAGGCTGAGCGGACGTACCGCGGCTTTATCGTTCTTAACGTTCTGTTCTCTGTGTTGTGCATTTCTCATGTGTTGTTCATTAAAATTCTCGTGTTCTTTTAAACCGTGTTGTCATTTACGAGTGCGCGGAAACTGCGAGGTTTGCGAGCGCCGATCGGTTGTGTCACGCGCGCGTACGATCTTTCACGAAATCGCCGCCGCGGACGCGACATTTTGGGGGCTCGTCCGGGATCTGAACGAGCCGACTAGCGACGAGCTGATACAGCGAGCTACGGAGGACCGGGGAAAATGACTACACAACATTCGCCGAGAGTTACCCGCTCGCAGACTCCGCGTCAACCATCAACGAATCCGGAGGCTCCGTTGGAAGAAAATGTTCTGCAAACCGCGCTGCGGGAGATTCGGGAGCTGCGAGAACAACGGGAGCAGGAGCGAGCACGACTCGAAGCTCTGCTGCGGCAGCGCGATGAGGAACTTCGTCGGCTTGAGCAGAGAATCGCTTCGCGGGAGGAAAACGAGCTAAGTCCTTCCAATAACAGAGCTTGCGGAGATATTTGCGCGGGGATGGGTTTAAAATTAAAACCGGACACGTATGACGGGAAAGTTCCGCTGCGGGAGTTCCTCTCCCAGTTTCTCTTGATCGCGCGCGCGAACAATTGGGATGAATCCACAAGGACCGTTGCCTTGGCTGCGAATCTAAGGGGAAAGGCGCGGACGGTTTTGGAGAACATTGAAAATTTCAATAACCTCACTTTTGCCGAATTAAAATCAAAATTGGAATTGCTTTTCGGGGAAGGAAATCTTACACAAAATTACTACTCTTTATTTACTAATCGGAAACAAAAATTCGGGGAGGATCTCGCTTCTTTTGGCGCCGAGTTGGAAAGGTTATCGCGACTTGCTTATCCCGAATGCTCCTACGCGGTAAGGGACAAAATCGCGTGCGCGCAATTCATTTCCGCACTCCACGACGGTTTCTTGAGGAGGACCCTCCAATTAGAAGGGATAACCTCTTTGAATTTGGCCGTTGAGAGAGCGAAAACCGTAAAAATTATACAGGGAAAAAATTTTGAAAAGAAAAGGGAAAATTTCGGGAAAACGGGCGCGACTTCTTATCAAAAGGGGGAGAGGAACGGCGCGCGGAAAGATATTGAGGGAAAAAGCGATATTAGAGAAAAAAACGACACGCGGAAAAGGCACGATGAGAAAAATTCTTCGAGGGGGAGATGGCGGGGAAACTCCTCAAAGAATAGAGAATGCTGGACGTGTGGGAAGACAGGGCATTTCCGTTCGGAATGCCCGGAGGAAAAGGGAAACGCGGTTTAGTTGAGCTACGCGGGGGGAGCTCAACTTTCTCCCAAAAAGCCCCGACGGTGAATCGTTTCGTCGATTTTGATGTCGCTAGGGTTAGGCAAAGTAATTTCTATTATAATGGAAGAATAAACGGAAGAGATTGTTCTTTGAAAATAGACACGGGCTCCGATGTTTCTATTTTAAGTAAAAACTTAGTAGATAAGTATACTGAAAGGACTAAAATCGAGAATTGTAATTTAAGGTATCCGACGGGAGAAAAAGTTTCGATTGAATTCCAAGTAGAGGTAAAAATAGAGATTGGGAAGCATATAATTATATTTCCTCTGTTCGTTGCCGCCATAAATGACGATTGTATTTTGGGAGTAGATTTTCTTACAAAAATTAATTTGCAAGATATTTTTGATCATGAATTTAATGAACTAAACCCGAATGAAAATAGAATTGTTGGTTGTTCTCGAATTGAAAATTCTTATAGAGTTCCGACTATTTTGAAGAATCTTTTTAGAAATAATTCCCTAGATTTGAAGGAACTGGAAAAAGAAATTTTTGCAAACTTTTTAAATAATTTCTCTGATGTGTTTTCCGAAAGTATTGTGGCTGGCAATTGTAGTGTTGTAGAACATGTCATTAACATAAAAGACTCTCCCCCCATTAAACAGGTACCTCGTCGAATTCTTATTTATTTAAAGAAGAAAGTAGATAAAATTATTGAGGATATGAAGGAACAAGGAGTCATAGAGGAATCGCAAAGCCCATGGATTTCTCCAGCCGTCATGGTCAAAAAGAAGGACGGCGGTATAAGATTTTGCGTCGATTA